GTGCCCGCAGCCGCCTCCAGACCCCTGTGATGCGGGCGGGCTCCGGGCTGCCGCGGGAGGCTCGGGCCCCTGGCGGAGCCTCCCGGCCTGCGGAGGCCTGGTTCTCCGGGTCAGAGGGCGGGCAGAGTGTGCGGAGCGGCTGCGTTCTTGGTCCTGATTGGGGGAGGGAGGGGTTTCCTCCAGGGTCGGTGCTTTTGCCCCGCGCGGCCCGCAGGTAGCCCGAGAACTTGCCGGCCTCTTTTGCTAAGGGGCCGCGCGCGTGAGGGGCCCCGGGGTCGTCTTCCCGCCGCGTCCTCCTGCGTAAAATCCCCTCCTCCCAAGAAGCCCTGTGCGGTTGCGTGCGGGAAAGCACACCGGGTGCCCAGCGCAGGCCCTGGCCCCGAGACAGGGTGGGTGGGTGAGAGAGAAAAGCCTTATCCGCAGGCTCACTACGGGCTTTGACACCCCGAAGTGAAACCCGAGTCCCCAAACCCAGAGCCCGCCCCGCCACCGCGCGCTCGGAGGAGCGTAGCTTGGGCTCCCCTGCAGAATTTTGCGGTAAAGACGCAAAATTCTGGAAGAAACAGCTCTCACGCCACTACTTCCAGCTGCTGCCTCTCTACCACGCAGCCTCAGCTGGAACACGCAAGCCACCGGCTTTTAACCTCTTGCATCCCCCGGCCGTCCCGCAAACACAGTGCAGATGGCTGTTTAGCCCGCCCGCGAAGATGGTTCCTTACTGTTCACATTCAGTTCATTTCCTCTTTATTTCAACTTTTATTTAACATTTGCTCTGGTCACAGCCGATATAGGAGAAAGCTCTGTAGAGTCGTTTTACTCTGTCACATTTATTAGATTTTTTTCATTCTCCTTTTGAAAAAAATTGTTCTTTCAAACTTTTGTGGAAGGGAAGTCTTCTTACACGTGCTTAGCCTGAATTAAGGAGGAAGGTGATTTACTATAGATCTCTTGCTAAAAAGGAGTCATCTTAAAACATGTCATGGTAGATTATTTGTGCAAATCAAGCAAAAGGCCTTCCTAAGGAACTTTAAGGAGCTGTCCAAGTTTTGAGACAGTGAGATTTGCCAGCCAGCCAGCCAGTCATTGGCTGGAGCTTGTGGGGTTTTATTTTATTTTTATTTTATTTTATTTTGAGGGAGGGAGGGGGGTACATGTCAGGTGAAGAGCTGTACATATTTTTATCTGATTTTGCATAACTCGGTTTATCTTTGTGCACAGACCCTGAAAGAGGAATTTCTAGAGAAACACTGTATTTCGCCAACCAGTAACTCCCTTTGTTTTGACTATCTTTTTTTATGCAAGGACTCTCAAATCATGCTCCAGAAATGAATTTCCAGTTGCCTGCTTTACATATGCACCTGGACATGCTGCAGGCATTCCAACTTAGCATGTCAAAAACTGACCTCATGGCTTCCTTCCTCAAGCCTGCACATCCTTCTGACTCACTGGTTTCTGTTGCTAACATTGTTGACTGCCAGTTACTCTGCTTGAAATCTCAAAGTCACCTATGATTCTTCCTTCTCTGGTGTCTCCTCTCATCTTATCACTTGCCAAATCCTGCAGACACCCTTTTCACAGTATTTATCACATCCACCCCTCCCATCCATTTCCACTGCTACTGTACTTGGCTCAGTTTTTATTTTCTCACTTCTTATCTTGACTATGGAATTGTCTCCTAATTAACCCTCACACCTCCAATGCTCCTTTTGTTCCAACCACCTTATATTTTGCCTTGCCTCAGGCCGATCTTCCTAATAAATAATTTACATGTTAGGATTAGTTTCAGCTTCTATCCAACAGGAAACAAAAAAAAAAGGAACAATTCCCTCTCTCCTTAAGAACACTTTCTAAAAGTTGTATATGCTATTTCCTTTATACTTCATTAGCCAGAATTTAGTCACATGACCACACCTAGCTGCAAGAGACATTAGGAAATAATAATCTTTATTTTTCACAGGCATATACCCAGTTAAAAATTGTGGCTTCTGTTATTAGAAGCAGGAAAGAATGATACTGGAGGACAACTCCTTCTTGTCACTTTTTGTTCAAAAGCTTCCAGTGGCTCCCACTGAATTAAGAAGATGCTCTTTATCCTGGCATTCGAGACCTGCCCTGATCTGGCCTCAGCTTACTCTCTGGCCCTCTATGTTTGCATCAAAAATGGGACTGTGTGCTGCTTCCACATTGTCTTGCCTCTGCGTCCAACCCCAGTTCAGACACCACTTCTCTCCCAAGGCCTTTCTTAATCCCCCCTTGCTCCAACTCTACTTGCTGCCCGCAGCTTTGTGTGCTGTTCTCTGCACCCCAGAGCTGTGTTAATAGTTAACCCTCAGCTGGGAGTGGGGCACTCTCTGCATTATTGACACTTTCATTGGACATGGGAAAGTGGTGTTTGAGGACGCCTTATGCCATGCTGAATGTATATGTTATTGAACTAGCAAAACCTCTCCTTATGGAGGAGCTGGTCCCTTGGGACATCCTTCAGGGGCTGACTGCCTAGAAGCAGCTCTGCCTACATGTGAGACAAACCAAGAAACAGGTGAGTGCCCCTGGCCTCCCCAACAATTGGTGAAGGGTTTCATTTTCTTTATTTTCCTCTCCTTTTAAAAAAACTCCTCTCTCTTTGCTCTTCTATTATATTTCTTTTGTCTTTTTATAATTTTACATGCCTCCTGCTTGTAGGTATTTAGTACAAAAATTGTTGATTCTTGTAGTTAGACACCTCCCCCCACAAAACTTATATGTGTTTTCTTTGGGTTCTACATGTATAAGTACCAAATTATAGAAATACCTTAAAAATGGTCCAGCTTGACACCACTCACTATCACTACCACCGTTACCTGATGCTTGAAGCTCTCAGTAGGCTGGAGTATTGTTCAAGTCTGTCTTCTCTCCTTCCTCTCACTTGAATGAGGGTGTACTTACCCCTTTGACTTTGAGCTTGACCATATGGCCTACTTGGCCAATGGAACAAGCAGATAATGTTTTCCACTTATTTCCAATGGAATAAATGGAATAATGTTTTCACAGACTTGCACTTGGGCTCCTGCATACATGTGACCCAGCATGCCCCAAATAGATGCTCCCCCTTCAGCCTGGCACCAGAACAAAGACAGAGTCCACACTGCATCCTTAAGCAAGCCCAGCTCCCTCCCAGCCTAAAGAAGGGCATCCCAAGCAAAACAAAGACCCATGAGTGAGAAAAATAAAGCTGTTGAAACTCACCAAGTTTTGGAGTCAAGTATTATGCTGCATTATTGTGGCAATAGCTAAGTAATAAAAATCCTCTCTTTAACACCTGTTCCAGTTATCTATTACTACATAACAAACCACTCTAAAACATAGTGGCATAAAACAACAACCATTTTCTTACTTATGATTTTGTAGACCAGAAACTCAAAGAGGGCGCAGCAGGGGTCCTCATCTGTTTCATGACTTCAGCTGGGTTTAATGGTTTAATGGCTGGCGTAGCTGAACTGGGGTCATATGCCTGTGGCCTCTGTTCCGGCTGGCTATCCTCTGGGATCTACTGAGGATGCAGTGTCCAACATGACCCTTCCATTTGCAGAACTGCCAGCTGGTCTAGTATGGCTGGAATAACTGGGGCCAGCTGGCCTCCCTTCCCCCTCCCCCTCCCTCCTTCTGTCCCTCAATGTGGCTACCTTGGGTTCCTCACAGCATGGTGATCTCAGTGTAGTCGTCGGACTTCCTACCTAGTGGTTGACTTCCCTCAGAGCGAGTGTCCTAAGAAATCTAGGTAGAAGCTGCAAGACTTCTTCTGACCTGGTTTCAGAAGTTCCAGAACATCACTTCTTTCACACTCTGTTAGTCAAGCAAGTCACTAAAGTCAGCCCAGATTCAAGGTGGGAGAATTAGAGTCCACCTCTAACAGGGGGACTAGCAAAGGATGTGCAGCCACCTTTGATCCACAACAACATCCTTAAGGCCTACATGTGCACACGTTCAAGACCAGAGTGGCGCGTGGACGTCACTACTTCCACAGGTGCCCTTGCTCTGGTGTCTCTTTGGATGACTCTGTTACAAAGTTCTTTGGGCATCATTTAGACATGTTCTTAAAACCATGACTGCACCGTCCATCATAGAGAAGACTCAGTTTCCCTCATTAAA